CATTCAGCCTGTCCACTGCAATGCGCAGTTTGCACATCTCTTTGAATATAGGGAACATGTGGTAGTGAAGTCTTGAGTCGTGCAGAGTCGGGCTTTTCGGCTGAATATCACCTCCAAAAGACATAGCGCTGTGTGTGCACAGTATCTATTGATTTGTATGCGCAGACACCATGATTTCCACTGGTGGCTGACGCGAGTTGAGCTATTCAATCGTCTCGGCAGGATCTGGTCCAGAAGGATGCCAGTCGTGGAGCAGCTGTCCGAGTAGGGGCCCGTTTTGCAGTGAAGTTTTGAATTGGGTTGCAGGGCTTTAGGTGTCGTTGCAATGCTGTACAACACTGACAGTCATGATCTCTGAAGGGGATGCGTTTGGGAATGGAGAATAGACATCGTCTTGACCTCGTAGGAAGCAGCGACCTTTGTGCATAGTCTTGACCATAGTTTTTGAAGTTGCAGGTTTTGTCAGATGGCGAGTACGGAGTGTTGTATATTACAAGAGTGCTGTATGCATGGGCAAGGACAAAGTCTCACCTCTTCACCTACCGTGTTCTTTGGGAAATAGGTCCCATTTCGCGCCTTCTTGACTTCACATGTGATCTTGTGTGGAGGTTCCTGGCCCATCACCGTCACGTGTCGTGGCCTGGCTTGGTGTGGCGTTGCGTTGAGTTGCGTTGCGTTGCGTTGCGTTGCGTTGCGTTGCGTTGCGTTGCGTTATGTTGCGTTGCGTTGCGTTGCGTTGCGTTGCGTTGCGTTGCGTTGCGTTGCGTTGCGTTGCGTTGCGTTGCGTTGCGTTGCGTTGCGTTGCGTTGCGTTACGTTGCGTTGCGTTGCGTTGCGTTGCGTTGCGTTGCGTTGCGTTGCGTTGCGTTGCGTTGCGTTGCGTTGCGTTGCGTTTAACAGCATTGCGTTGCGTTGAACAGCGTTGCATTGAACTGCGCTTCGTTTTCTTTCGCTTCATCGTCGACAACTTGTGGACAGGGCACAAGATCCTAGAGCATCTTTCTTGAGCGGCGACGGCTATTCATTGATGGCTATCTTGGGAGTGTGGACAGCTCTCATGTCTTTCACGCCCAAAGATCGTTCCATCATTGCGCACAGCTATTTGTAGTTTTGGCGCAACAAACTGGGAACGAGCAGAGTCGAACAGCTTTCATTAGACAATTGAACACGTTGTATGTCTCAGTGCGTATGACGTGTTGTGCATCACAGTGGTTTGTGAGCAGCGAGGAGAAAACATTGGTGCAGTACATCCGGGGATTCTTGTGCAGGCAGATCTGAAACGGCGCCATAGGTGCAGAAATTCCGAACATTCCACAGCCGTCAAAGGCGCGCCCCATGCCTGTAGATCGACAGGCGCCACGGGCGGCCCCCCCACAGGCCCGCACATTGCAAGCGCCACTCCTCAACGGCAAAGAGGGTGCGCCGCAAGCAACCCAGCGGGCGGGCCACCCTTGGACGCCCCAAAGGGAGGGGGAGACTTGTAACCAAGAGAAACAGGCCATACAAAGCACACCCTCTAGCAAGACTTGTTTCTATCCGGTGAAGAGATGATGCAGAGCCTCCTGTGCGAATGCTGAGCACACAACACAAGCAACACAAAAGGCAAGGGGTGGGCCTGAGGGTGGGGGTGAAATTAAGACGGCAGCGCCAGTTTGATGGTAGGCATGCCAACATCGAAATTGCCTTCCAGGGTTGGATGCTTCCATCCCCCGCACTCCTACCCACACTTCAATTTGATGACAACATGAACAAATCGCGGTTGCCCAGGTTGCTGACGCTGTGGTAACAGAATTATCGGAGGCCGACGTTGGAGCGCCTCCGATGCATTTCCGATGGCATCTGACATTGGACTCCGAATTCTGTCTCCCCCGATGCGTCTCCGATGCACTCCGATGCCAGATTCCCACACTGTGGGGGGGGGGTCCCCATATGGCGCCCCCTGATAGAGCCCCTGGGCTCCACTAGCGCCCCCTTTTTGGCTACTCGCCATTTCTGTAGTACTTTGTGCAGCTTGGCTGCTGTTGCGGCCGTTTGACTCATGGGGCAATGGGATTTCATTTGAACGAATGAGGTAAATTAGGGGGGAGGCCGTGGGTGACAGCCAAAATAGAGAAGTGTCTAGAGCCTAATGAATGAGGGAGTGAATCTAGTTTGTGTTATAAGCACAACACGCTGTAATTGAAACCCGCTCTTGCCACGATGGGTAAGGGCAAGGGAGATTCGGGCGTGAGCTCTCTGCTCACATTTGCGCATTGCGAAGAACCACAAATATTCACGTGGCATCGTAAAGGGCACTACACTGCACACTGGGACTTCATACTGGTATTGTGGACAGCCAAGAGAAGTGTCCGGGGGACGGATGCCGCGGCGGCCGACCGTTTCTGGCTGGAAACGGTAAACTTGGCATACCACAGATGGGCAGACGGCACGCCTGGTGCGTCCGCCCTACGACCCGGCCAGGGGCCTTCCCGGGAGGCCAGGGGAGGTGTTCATTCTGCAGCGAATCTCTATCTATGACAGTGAAGTGGGCACTAACCGCCTTGCTACTTGCAGCTGGCGGTATGGAGGGATAGGGATGGGTGCCAAATGCCGCGGCGTCCACTTTTTAATGCACGAATTGCTGCAGGGCCGAGGGCCGATAGAGACCAATATTGCGAACGAGCATTCTGTGCGAGCCTCGCCCTTGTCCTTCAGGATTAGTAGCCTGCAGTGCCTAGCATCCGAGTTGAGGCTGATTGATTGCACTCGTGGGTGCCAATCAGGGCATAGGGCGTATATACGCATGGGTGGCACCATTCGGCACAAAAGAGGAGCAGCAATGGCGAGAGTGGGAAGCCACATTCGGCCTCCCACTCCCGCTTCGAAGCGGGAACAGTCAAAACAAAGAATTCTTTGTTTTGACTGTTGTGCCTAATTCTTAGATGCCGCACAGCCGTTGTTGACTTGCCCATGCTGCACCTGCTACTCTGGGCTATGCAACTCACACACAGGGGAGTCCCTGGCTCCGGACGACCTACAGCGGGTGGGGAGCAACGGGGCGCATTCGTTACGTGATGCGCCACTTGCAACGATGCAAAGCGCTTGGACGCAAGGATGTCCCACCAGTGCGTACATATGTGGTCATCCACGAACAGATATTTGCAGAAATGCTCAAAGCGGGGGGCCGTTACCCCCATGGTACACCGCCCTCGATCACTGAGACAGTATGGCAAAGTTCTTGTTAACACTGTTAACGTATGGCAAAAAGATCGAGGACACACTACAACATTTAGCGGACGGCATTTAGTGGATGGTAGCAAGTGGCCAGCGCTGACCTCTACAACACGCTCTCAACATCCATAGGCCATCCCATCATTCTGCATAGGTATTTCAATTTTTGGTGCTACAACTGGGAACGAGCAAGAGCAGTGCATTGTTAGGTTCATGCCCTACAATGCTTTGTCAATAATGGTGAGGAACCATCTGTGTTGTACTTTGGGGACTTTGCTATCAAGCAGCAAAGGAGGGTGCAATGCGACGAGCAGCCCGAAGGGACAAACATTTCGGGTGTTTTGACATTAGCTTCATGTTGACGAATTTCCCAGTGCACAAAACGCAAGCTCGACAAGTGTGGTCTATGCCCAAATAACATCCCAAGCCCAATGCTTAAGATTTGGTGTCAACGGTGATCACATTGCGGGTAGCTTTCATGCGCAATTGTGCGCTACATCACCCTTGCAGCTTCAGGTGCAACGTCTGCCATTTTCAAGCACTCTGACCAGCAATTTGTGCCAGAAGAGACTATCGCTTTGCATTGCAACCCTTGCATTGGCTGCGGAGATGACAGGGTGCGAGATCCTTTTCGGCTGTGGATGCCTGCGAGATGTCAATCTGTTGCGGGGTCCCTTCACAGATCAGGGGCGATTCAGATTTTCATCGGCTATTATCATTTTTGCTGAATTCCATAGCGTTTTAGCGTCATGGCCCTGGGTAACCTGCGTCGTGATGGCTAGGGTGTGGGTGCACCGCGCTTGAGTTCTTCTCTGCCCTCCACTGCCTGCAAGGTGCAGGATCTTCGTTTGTCACGTCAGTGCTGGTCATTCACGGGTTTGGGTTTGGCCCCATCCCCACCCACCCACCCACCCCAGGAAATAATATTACTGCCTGCACCAAATCGGTGACTGCTTGCACCAAGTCACGTGCACACTTTGTCCTAACCTCAGTTTTAGGGTTAGGTTTAGTTCAGGGTGAGTTTTAGGGTTAGGGTTAGGGTTAGGACAGGTTTAGGTTTAGGGTTTAGGGTTTAGGGTTTAGGTTTTAGGTTAGGTTAGTTTTGACGGAGTTGGATATGATGTGCACGTGACTTGGTGCAAGAAGTCACCGTTTTCGTGCAAGCAGTCACCGATTTGATGCAGGGAGTAATTTTATGCCCCCAGCCCAGCCTCCTACCCCGCTTCAATTTGATGATGAACATGACAAACTCGCGGTTGTGCCGGCTGCCTGTCTCTGCCCTCCCAGCCGTCCCCCAGTCTGCTGCTCCCAACGAACTGGCTGGCAGCCAGCCAGCCACCCGCAGGTTACGCTTATCGTCACCGTCGGGCCGTCATTTCAACCGAGGGCATGTCCCCCGCGGGTCGTACTCCAGCGGTGGTGAAAACTCCTGTCAGGGACGTGGCGTACCTTCCGACCTGGCAACGCCCCAAGGACGTCCACGGAAACCGCTGCCGATCCCCGCCATGGTTTCCCACCCGCTGCCCGACATACGTCCGCTCGACACCCGGCTTTCACCGCCACAGGCGGACGTTAGTCCACCCGCTCAAGCGCCTTCGTCGTGCCCCCGGCCCACCACCCGCGCCGGCCCCACCCAGCGGTGCCCTGTGCCCTTGCCCTGCCCAGCTCCCCTGCCAAGCGCCCCGCTGAGAAGCCCTCCGCCAAAGTACCGCCGACACTGCCGACGGGCATCGACCTTGCAGCAGAACGGCTGAGGAGTGACTGAGTCTGGTAGCCCGGGCGCGAGGGCTGATGCCGCGAATGGCGGCCCGGACCGTCGTTGTACTGGCGACGTTTTTGGCGCTCCGCATGGTGGGGGGCGCCGCCGATAAGGAGGGGAGCTGCTACGTGAACAACGGTGAGTGCCCGGTGCCTTCTGTCTTGTGTGCCTAGTGTTGGGCCCCGTTAGGTCGACAAGCCAGGGAGCGGCCCAGTTTCAATTTCACCTCTCCTGGGGAACGCAGTTCTACGTTGCACTCCCCGTCATCATTGCGATCGCCGTTGTGGTCGAATGGCCAGCATTACATCCCCAACCCCCGCCTCGAAGGAGGTTGGTGAGTATTGCGGAAGGAGGGTGCAGGGCTGGCGATTTTGGCGGTGGCGTGTTCGATCGGCATGCTGTCATCTGATTGGCGGCGGCCCTTTTGCAATGTCCCATTTCGAGGTCTCGTGGCTGGGACGGCTCGAAGTTGGGCCTCCTCTCCAGTCAATTGCATGGCAGGTTGACCAACGGACACTGGGCAATGTGTCAAATTGTGGGCTTGCAGATAGGAGGGGAAACCCACAAACGCTCCCAATCGTAAACGGAAGGTTGGAAGATGCTCCCTGTTGCAGGCGATCCCTCATGCTGAGTGCTTGATGTGCCCTGAGTTGGTGGGCCCCCCCCCCCCCCTTCTGTGTATCCTCTTTCACAGCATGGAAAACAGTCTCGCATACACTTGCTTTAGAGGGGTTGCCCGTTGTGGCTTGTTCCTCTCTTTGTACCAAATCTTACCCCACCCTACTCCCTTCTCCCCCATTTCTATAGCAACCTGAGAACATGGTGTGCTCTCTCCGACTTGGCATTTCAACAGCGGAAATTCTTGCTGTGTTTTGCGTTTCAGAGCCTGGGGGACTCACCATCAAGCACAGGGTGCGAAAAGCTTCTATAGCTCAATGAGTGCGCAGGGGGCTTTGCCTTTGTGCTGTTTGGTTGTTCCGCTTCCTAGACACTCCTTGGCATCAGCGCTCCCTGCCGTTGCATATCTCACAGTCGTCGTGCAAATGCTGACCAGCAATGTAACTGCATCAGCCTTTGGTTGAACTAGAACTGCGGTGTGGAATGTACGGTGACCAGACATTGCTGCATCTTAGAAATCTGCACATAGTATGTACGTAGTGCATTTTCCATTGAGGCCCTATTGAATTCGCAGCTGTATCACAATTGATAATTTATACCAACGAAAGTTAGGGCTTTGGTCGCAAACAGGTTGCTGATGTACACTACATTTCAATAGTGGGAAGTACTTATTTTCTGCAGGTCTATGCACAGCCTTCCTGGCACACAACTGTCCAAGCAACCTCATAAATTATGGCAATGCTTGTGGAAACAGGTTACAAAAGTGAAGTGCCCAACACAGTTTGCATTCATCGTGAACATTTTGGATCCAGTCGTCCAAACGCATTCATGCACAGGAGTCTTGATCGACAGGAAGACAGTAGCTGTGCCAGCATCATGTGTGCAAACCAGGTCCCATGGCATTCGAAAGTTCCCCATTGTCAGAGTGGGCTCCTACAATCTGAACACTCACGATGAACCTGGCAAGGATGAGGTGAGCCACACCAAGAGTTTTGGGGGTCAGCCCAGTGCGCTTGGTGAAGTGGTTGGACCAGGTGGGCTGGACTGGTCCTTTTGCAAGACGATTGAATGGCAGCTTGACAGAGAGAATCAATGTGATGCAAGGGCCGTCTCTCCAGTATTGTGCTGTCAGATCTAGGCAAAGGCATGTGTTGCACAGTGCTTGAGTGAGAAAGTCATAGACAAGTGAAATGGTGTTGGGAGCCCATCCTGATAGCCTCATGAATAGTTACGCACCCAGTTTCAGCATACATAGCAGGTCCTTGTCAAGAGATGATATGCAAGGTTTTGAACATATGTGGAGGATTGTTGGTTTGGGATGGAGTAGTAACCCCACTGATTATTTGGTTTCCGTACAATGTGATCAACATCAATTGTAACAAATCCAAAACTGAGCAACAATGATTCTGACATGCAATGCGCATTTATGGTCTTTGCCACAGATGTTCGAGCAAGGCTATGGTGTACTGTTGTGTAGCTTTGCCGCTGAGTTGTGGACACATGTGAGGTTAGGGTATATCATACTATCGTCAAACAGCAATTGCTGGATACCTGAATGTTGTGCATGTCAGCAAGCCAACCCTGTTCCATGTTGACCAAACAAGTAGCAAGCGAGGCTGTGGTCTGCTGCTCTTCATAGGAATACACAATCTCAACGATACTCATTCATGAGAGTTACGATGGCAATCCCCAAAATGGTGGCGACCTAGCCCTACTGGAGTTGAAAGAGCCACTGACAAACTGCACTCCCATCTCAGAGGACTTCATGGACATTTCAAACTGCAAGCGAGGCAGTTTGATTGGCGTTGGCTGGTTTGGACCAAATACCCACCAAGGACCCCCACCTAATCAGCTGGAAGTCCTACCTGGAATGAGCTTCGTGGATCGTGAAAAATGCACCAGTCTTCTTGACGGAATGCCACAGGGTGCCATATGTGCATGCTCTGACCCAGCTGCCAACATTGTCTGTAAGTTGCTCAGCTATCACCTGTTATAAAATGTATGGTGTGGATTCTGTTTCAGAGTTGTTCACAGACATGTTTTTCACATTTTTGCATCACTGCCCAATCAGAATATAAGGCCCACGCCAGATATATGTATGCACTGACGATGTGGAGGAGGCCAGCATTTGTTAACCCTGATACCAAGATGCTGCTAAACAAAACTATTGTTTCAGCTCTGTATGCCATCTTGTTGAGTTCCACAACTGGAAGGAGGCTCAAAAGTAAGGTGCAGTTACGTATTTGGGCATGGTGTGAATGGCAGCTGCGCAGCATCACAGCGAGCACTTCTCTGCCTCTCACATGGACAGGAGGGCGTTTTTGTGGCAATGTTCATCACATTATGCTGTGATGACACAGAAGGTCAATTAAAGTACTGGGCAGATATGCCAGTGGTTGTAGTCCCAAAACTCTGTGGGCATTCGCCTGCGTGGCTCTCATGTGCTAATGCTGTTGTCATGAGTTCGCTTCTGAAAAGTTTTCTGGCTCTTCTGGCTCAGGGGATCACGGCTCGCTGCTGCTTTGCAATGGCAGACACCTTGTAGGATTGGCGTCATACATGCCAGAGACGAACGAGTACAACCCCTATGTGTACACGCACATGGCAGAGTACAAGCGTTGGATTAAGGAGCGTGACCACAGATCATCGAATGTACATTTCAACTCTGATGATCGTGAACTGTGAAACACTGAGGATTGATCATTTGAGCCTTCTCATTTGGTTTATAAGCAGTTAGTGGTTGCAGTCGCAAACAGGTGTCGCAACTGTCTTCCCAAGCCACAGGCTGCAGTTCTTGCATTGTCAAGTTGCCTTGCGGCCCCTTAGTCATTTTCGGCTATTGGGCAGATTTGTCAGCTTAATTTGCAACGAAATGACCACCACGTGGTGATGCGCAGTATCAGGCAATGCCTCAATTGAGAGACCCTGCAAGGTGCAATCCTCAACTGCAATTTGTGGATGTGATGCCCAGCACCGTGTCTTTGTTTTGAATGAGCCCCCTATCTATCACAGTGGTGAGCAAATTTCATGGTGCTGCTTTCGACTCTGGCCCTCTTACCACATTTACCAAGGAACGGAGTTATTCATATCTAATCAGAGCTATCGCCTGGTAGAGCAGCAAATGTCTGATGGTTGCTTAGCTGTACGTTGATGCGTAATGTTCCTTATAATGAATGTAAGCGGGAATTGTCAAGGGTTGCCGCTAATGTCTTGATGCAGCACCATTCCAGTGCCCCCTTGGGCCACCCTCGGAGGGGGGGCATTGAATGATTGTCTATTGGCCAAGAACACAGCGATAAGACCTTGCCCCAGGACACCAATTGCCATTTGAAGAACGCTTAACTCTGTGTTTTGGATGCCCCCTTGCGTTGTTCGTTGTTGCATACTGCTCTATCAGTGCAATGCCAGATTGACAGCCTTCGTATCTGGATATCTGTCCGCTGCATTTCTTTTAGGTCCGCGGCACAAGGCCTGTCTAGGTAAGGCACTGGATCCAGTTATATTAGGAAGCGTGTCGGGAATGCTGACGCTAAATGCTGCCAGGTATTGTGGCTTCAGCCAGCCAAAAGCGTGACAAGACACCGCATCTATCAAGTGATATTGGGCGTGGTCCACATCAGCAAGCAACATTGCAGATGAAAGTGTTACCATAACCCACAGGGAAAGCTGCAGAACTGGTGGTGCCCAGAAAGTTGGAGAAGAAGACAAGGGCCGCAAAGGAAAATGCTCACACGAACGTAGTTTCATATGATCTGATTATGGAACCCAGGGACGTCCCAATCTCAACTCCATGTCCAAATTTGGATTTTGAATTACAAAAGGCTGCGCTGAAACTATCAGAAATGGCTCCATCTCCTGGAAGCCTGTGAAAAATTTCTTGGTGCTAAAGGGAGACTCAAGAAATCCGGCAAAAAATGCCCAGTCAACGAGGCGTCTTAAATGACAGGCTTGCCACAACATCCAAAGGAGTTCATTGCAATAATACCACGTACAATTTGTTCATAAAAACTAAAGTGGCAGTCACAAGATGGCGGTGACGAAACCTTGCCGGAGTTGAAGCACCACTGACAGACCCCACTCCCGTCTCAGAGGACTTCGTTGACATTTCAAGCTGCAAGCGAGGCAGTTTGACTGGCGTTGGCTGGTTGGGGCCAAATACCCACGAGGGGTCGCCACCTGAGAAGCCCGACGTCCTACAGGAATGAGCTTCGTGGATGGGGAAATGTGCACCGTCTTCTTGATGGCATGCCACTAGGCGCCGTATGTGCATGCTCTGACCGCCCTCCAACATTGTCTGCAAGTTGTTGGCACACTCCTAATAAATGCATATTGTTGAGCTCGCTGGGAAGTCGATATTCTTTCGTGAACGGACAAAAACAAGCCCGTCTTTTGCATCATGGTGTAGTCAACACTTAGCATTATGTCAAGTAGATCTATGATGACGATATTGAGGAAGCAAGTGCCTGTGGTCCTTGATGTCAGGCTTCGCTGACTAAACATTACATTCCTGTTTCACCACTGTATGCCATCGTACTATTCACGAGAGCATTTTGAGCTCGTTTCCTGCAACCAGTTTCTGCACAGATGGACGAGGAATGAGACACCATCACGGGAATTCAACTTTTAATAATTCCATCAGTAACTTATTGGTTCGCACCATTGAGCAGTTGCCCTTCAGAATAGTGTGCAATGCATGACTGGGCCTCGCATGAGAGATGGCCATCCGGAGCAACAATGAGCACTACTCTGCCAGGTATGTGGTGAGGACAGCCTGGTCTTCACAACTTACATTGCACCAAGGTGTGATATACCACTGTCCACAAGAGGCCAACCAAACTACCTCGCAATTATGCTCCTCTGCTCGCTGTGATGCAACGTGAGGACGCCCGCCTGTACTGCTGCCCTGTGCTGAAATTGTGTTTCTGACGCTGTTTCTGAACAAGAACTTTGCGCCTGTGGCTCAGGGGACCACGGCAGGCTGCTTCTTTGCAATAACATGCTCCTTGTTGGGCTGGCTTCATACACGTTACAAGCAAACGAGTACTACACCTATGTGCACGCACACATAGCGGAGTACGAACAGTTAAATGAGGGAGCCTGACCATCTTTCGCCCACTTTGTTTGTCAATTCTGGCAAATGCTGCGGAGGGCACAAAGGGCACGAGGAACTGTGCAACACTGGGGTTGGCTCATTTGCATTTTCCGCCTTGGTGCGTCAGTAGATAACATTTTCAGTCGCACATAGTCTTGAACTCTTTTACAGCCCAGGTACAGGTTAAAATTTTGGGATCATAAAATTGCGTGGCTTCTCCCTGATTGTTTCTGCTGATTGAGATTCACTGCCCTGAGCACAGTCATCAGCTCGTTTGGCCAAGTGATGGCAGCTGCATCACTGTCTCAAGTAATGCCCAAGCGAGACGCCTAGCAAAGTGCGGCACCCAATCAGGGTACAGATGACATTCGCAGTTTGTGCGTGATGGCGCACAGCACCATTTATTAAGGCTGATTAATCACCTGATTTGAAATAAATGTGTGCAATTCTCATGTTGTTGGTTGCGACTCAGCCCTCTAAAGGCATCTTTATCGGTCGGCGCTATTGCAACGGCGTTGCTATACAGGGACGGTTTTCACTGGCTGCTGTTCCACCTTACTAAGGCGGCGTTTGCTGAACAGCACCG